CTCAGTACATCTACGAACTCTATTGATGCCTGAACACTAACTCGTTCACGGATTACAACAAATCGTACTTAAATACGATTTGTAGATAGCGATACATTCACAAATCGTACGAGTTACTACTAAAACTGCCAAAAAGGCTGCAAAGCACAATAATTGTTTTTATTATTTCACCTTAAATTTGTCACGACATTTTACTACGTACACTGGCCTCTAGAGTTTGATTCTCGTTATTAAAAAAGCCACTCGCCGTTATAATCAGCTCCCGAGACGGTGCATGACTATCTACATGTAGCTTCCATGTTTATTCGAGTGTTTTGCGCATAGAATCCTGAGCTTTCCCCGTGTGCGACACGGCGTTAGTCTTAGTTCTTAAAAAAAGTACTGGAATTGATACTAGGCGTGCTTGGACGAATGCCGTTGTTATAGTGGCATTATTCCTCCAAACTTGCTGCTACTATACATAGGTCATAAATATGTAAACAAAGCGAGACAAGTAGCAATATTTCAAGTTTATAAATTGACTTCAGCCGCTATAATAACGATAGAGGCAAATAGCCAATTCTTAAAAACCTCTTGTCCAGATTGTCAAGAAAAATAACGCCCAGTGCGTGCTTTTCATCCTTAGCACTTGACGTACAGGAACTTAAGCCGAAATGTACGTGAAATCATTTTTTTCTCAGTAGGAATTATAAGAAACATTTATCAAAAGTTTTTCGTTTAAACAGAGATGTATTGGGCACTTGGCGCAGCCGCAGCATCTACAAGTGCTACAATCTGCTTGTTGTAGCACGCAATCGTGATACTCTCGCTTTTGTTTGTGTCGTTAACAATTCGGTCGCAAGCGTGTCTTTGACCACCAGCGACTTTGCACGCGACTGTCGTGTATTATTATAGCGGTGTAGATGAGATGAAAATTACTGTAGGAGCCGTCTTGCTGTAAGCTTACTTGAATAGGTCGAGTACACAGTCGGAAAAGTTGCAATGCTGGAAATGCTAATACGTAGCATGCTAGCTGGATCTGTTTTATGGATAAGGTGCAAGAATGGAGGCTGACCGCAGCGGGAAGCGTCTTGTTTTCTGCACAAGAGCCACACAACAATGATGAAAATGTCTTATTAGACAAAGAGATACGTCTTCCCCAAAGTAAATAGCGACAAAGATCCAGTGAAGGACCGTCAAAGAGACAGAGGCACGAAGAGACTCAACCACGGGGACAACAATCAGAAAGACGATCACTCTGATTGATCGATAGAACAGAAAAACTAAACTATGTACTTCGAACTAGAAGGCCAACTTCTTTCTATAAACAGTTGGATCGAATCAATTTCATCAGCATTTCTCCTAACTCGCTATCGTAGTCAGTAGAAGCTCCTCAAAAGTAAGTAGCACTTGACAATTTACTTAGTGTCGAGGACAGTAGTTCTGCGTCTATAAAGGTGTATCAGAACGCACTGTAATGTATCAAAACGTGTTGAATATGTCCGAAGTGAGAAAAAAAAGAAGCGTCAACTATGTCGAAGGTGTAAAATCCTGTTTGTGAGCTACCATGGCTTACTATGGCTGCAACTGGGCCGTCAGCGGCACGCATTCCTTGTAGACTTGCCAGGACCAGCGACTCTTTACAAAGCGGATTCCTAGCCAGAACCAGTAGAGCGTGCAGCTGCCCTTCTTTTCGCAGGACGAGTAGTCGATCTTGTGCGTCTTGCCAGGGATCTTCTCGTGGCAATTGTCGAACTCCATTACCAGCACGTCATCCAGGTAAGCAGCACACGGTCCCTCGTGGCTGTAGCCCGTAGACCTTATGACGCCATTCTTCGGAATGGGCCGAGGCGGACCATTGAGCTTGGTCAAGCCGCAGGTTTAATTAGCGCCTGGAGTGACTGTGGTCGTGTAATTGCCTCGATCCATAAAGTCTCGCAGGTTCTTGTAGCCGTTTTGAGCACGCCAGCTATTGAAATCTGCCTGACACGGAAAGCCCTGGGATTCAAGAAAGGCAAGTGGTCTCCATCGGGTATCTCGGTCGTTAATGCCGGCCTTCCAAATAGGTTCAGGCTCCAGAAGCAGTTGGTGGGGTACTGAACAACGCAGTAGCCACGGCTAGAAGAGAGAAGGCCATGGGGACGAAGAGAAGAGGTCGGGGTAGTCGACGACAAAAGAGAAAATGGGGGTGGAAAAGGAGTGGGGAAAAGTAGTTTGAAGTTGAAATTACTTGTAAGTTACTCTGGGTATGTAAAGATGGAGAGCTACGATTTTTTTTTCGTGTTAAGTCACAGTTAAGTTACAAATGCCCGGACATCTGTATCGTATGCATCTCGGTTGCCAATCGAGATGCTTACGGTACGGTCGGCGCAAGAGATGCTCGCATAAACGACTCCTACAATTTTGATTAAGATGAGCCCTTCGCTAGTGATCCCTACTCATGGAATAACCAATTGGTTCCCGAAGTCGAGGTGTTTACAATAATACTTAAGTATTACCTGTCACCTCTCCCTCGTAATATGAAATACAAAATTTCCAAAAATGACTGTTCTACGGTGCTTAACTATGGGAAATATGCAGCATGTCCGAAGCAGGCAAGCAACGACACACGTGCACCCTCCTTCCTGCTTAGCTCGCATGTAGGCACGACAGCATATCAGCCAGCTCGTCGGTTATGGGGCCTTCCTCCTCTGGCTCACAGTATTCACGCGCATATTAATAGTAATCGAGTAGACCGGTGTGTCTCCAGCACTTTACAAAAATCGAGGTGACATGGAATTTAGCAGTCGGAGCTTCACATCGCGAGCGTCAACCTTGTAAAACATGGTCGTTTTCGGCATGTCCATCAGGTCGGCTTCAAGTTGATCAAGGGCGTGCTGGGTGTGGCGACGCCGGTAACACTGTTGAATGCAGCAAGTATTCCAGCGAAAAGATGCTGGCTCTTACTGGTAGTCTTTGGGGAGCATTTGGGGAGCATGATGCTGGCAAAATTGCAAGCGATAATCATTGGTGAATATGATGCGGGGGGGGGGGGGGTGACTTGGGCTCGACTGGCGTCTTATGGCACTAGCTTGGAAAATTGAAGAATGAGAGAGACTCCGGAAGTACCGCTTCTGTCACGTACCATTTTTGAAGGTACACCTGGCTAAGCCACCCTACAACAAGAATACCCTTTGCTGGGATTAAATTGTTGGGTTCCGACGCTTTGATTACGGAAGGGTTCATCTGTGCTAGAAGTCAGTTGATTCTCCTCAAAAGCAAGGCCGTTCCTGTATTGTCTCGCGCTGTAGGAGTGATGATTCGCATTCAGCTATCGACCAAGTCAAGTATTGTCTTCTAAGACTGCGCTTTGGCTGATACAACCGGGGTCACCTTTAGCGTGTAGTAGCCTGTCCAATTGTAGTCTTGTAGCATGAGACCAGCACTCTGAAGGATCTTCCTCGATAATAAAAGTACTAGGGGTCAGCAGCAAAAGGAGACCACAGTGGACGCGTCCACGTCCACAGGTAGCATATTATTATTAATACGCTTAACTTGCGAAAATTCTCTAAAACATGCGGGTGATTGGTGCAATTATGCTGTAAGTTTTAATGGGTGCGGGTTCAAATGTTATTTAACACCGACCCATTATTATTTTATGCCCAGAAGGAGTTGTATCCTTTATGGTCAGCCCACAGCGTTTAGCCAAACCTTTAGTTTAAGATTCGTGATTGCTGTAGCCACTCCAGTCCTTCGGTGCGACGGCCAATTATTCTCAGACAACGTGCCCCTTGCTTGCTCTTAAAATATCGGAAGCATTCGGGATGGCTCAGATACCAGAACGAAATTTCGTTGGTCTGAAGCCCAGAAGCTATCGGTAGACCTTTGTACCAGGGATCGGAAAATAAAATAAAAAAATCGATTGCACAACGTATTATGGAGTAATACTGTAATCATTATAATATGCTCGATCTCAATAATAACTTTTTTATTAAAAAATATCACAATACCGAAAAAATCGGGCATAGATTTAGTGGTCAAAGTCAAGTCAAATATAAAACCTCATTAAGGTTTTATAATGACCAGTTCTGCTGACATCCGTCCTAACCAGGCGGCAGATCGTATTTGAAGCGATTTTTACGGAAATGTATTAATGCCGTATTTTGCTTAAACTTTGGATGCTTTATAGAGCTAGATCTCGACAGGCAATAAAATTCATTGCAACTACTAATATCTCCACGTGTCCAGAAAGCAAAATTGAGCTATACATTTTCAGTTAAGATAATAAGGACCTTTTAAAATTTACAGCATAAATGCACAAATCACCCCTCTTAACAGTGCTATAAAAATGTTGATGGATTAGTGGCTGGTACGTGATAATTATCCCGTGCGTGGATAAAGTTTAACGGACAATTCTTGCGTTGTCACTCAGCTCGCGATTCGTGCGCTCTGCAAGTTCGCAGGCAACGGCAGCCACTGAATTGTACTTTGAATGTGAAACAAGGTCGACGCATTGTGGACACTTTTAATACATACATTTCGCGTTTACTCCTCAGCTGGGAGACCTAACCCATCAGCTCTTTCCAGTAGGGAATTCGCAGGCGACGCTGTTATTGGTAGATCTTCGTTGTTTCTTTTGGTTTGCCATGTCGCTGATGCCGTCATGCGATTACCGTCCTGGTATACTTACCTCTCGTCTAATCGCGAATAAGTATCCTCTGGTGCTGTAAGTAGTTTTTTTCTTAATTGTTTTAAATTTTGAAACCAAGGCTCTGCGTCAAATTCGCCATACACCAGTCGCTGCTTGACACAGATCTCTAGTGACTCTTATCAAGAAATAGGCGATGCCAAAACCGTAGCCCTCTAATAAGTCATCGATCGGGAGTCATGGATTTAATACAAAGTGATTGCGGTCAGTATTTGTATTCCTACAACCCGTACTAAGTGCGTGGCGTACAACGTTGTATCCTCAGGAGTTTAATCTGCACGTGTAACGCAGGCTACAGATCACAACGTGTGTTGATTTTGAAGAACAAAGTCAGTGATGATTGGCATCGTAATATTGTTGCCGACACTCGAGAGCTGTAATTGAGCTGACACTCAACTCGAGTAGACGAGAATCACCCCTCTACTGTGCCTGCCAGTTCCATACTCATGTATGTCATTGCCGTCTCTATTGTAACAACTTCCTTACTTCGTCATTCTTTACTTCTGACAGATGCAGTAGCCCCTCGGACACGCATGTTGCACTAGTGTAAACTCCACAACCTGTCCGATGTCAATATACTGAATGCAGGGGTAATCTAGCCGTTGCTTCTAGTGCGAAACGCTGGTAAAGTGCGCAGACTTCATTCTATCCAGCATCTTGAGGTCGCGCTCGCCCTTACGCAGCATGTACTCGATCACAGCAAAATCTTTGCGGTCCACCGTCGCCACCTATTTGCCCCAACACAGAATTAGGGTACGAAACGAGCCGTTAGTATCCCAATTGTACGACGCAGGCCAGCCTAATAGCGCCCGTACATCCTCGCGGAAGCGGTCGCGCACGTAGCGCAGCGTGTCCTGATCCTTGCGCTTGGCTGCTAGTAGCGCCTTCTTATACAGCGCCAGCACCTGCAGCTGCAGCCCCGAGTGGACCTTGACGGGAGTCATTCCACTTTGTAATTTAGTACTATTTGATTGGATAAAAAACTTCAAAGGACCAGGTCGCACTTAAATACGTCCCAACATAAAAGGCCACCTGATTTACTTAATATTTGTATCTGCTCAATTAAATGCGAGTGATTGTGTGGAAGAGACAAAAAACCGTACTTACGCTAGAAATACTCGTAGCTGTAAATTCCTACAGTTGTTTCCTTTTGAGCTAGAATTTGATAATGATTGAATACATACAAAAAAAAGACTGTTTATAACCACCAATCAGCTAGCTCTAATTAAAATGTTTGGTCTTAAGTTTGAATTTTGGATTTGATGTGGCCCTATATTTTCGGATAGAGGCAGTATGTCTCGAACCCCTCCTTTTAGAAGCCGGTATTTAGCTGGTGTAAAGAGAGGGACTTTCCAGGTATTTTTCGTAGCGATATCCATATTTCACAGCCTTCTTAAAAGGATACTTGAGCTGTTTTTTTGCGATCTTGTAGACTGTATGCGGATGCAAGTCTTGAGCTCTGTAGCCTGCAAAAGTTGAGGCTAGCTTTTTTATCTTTGATGTCTCGTTGGCCAGCGTCCCGGGGATATAGCTTTTCAGAAGGTCTGTCCAAGAAGCACCTCTTTCTTCCGTGTTGTCGTCATCGATCGTTTCCATTCGTAAGGATCTTTTCTCAACAACGTCGACTTGGCGCACTGCATCAACCGACTGCAGCAAACTCGCCGACTCAGAGCTCACCACCGTGGACAGCGCAGATCCAGCAGTAAGAAGCGTAAGAGCTACGCCCACTAGTAGAATAGGAGAAACGCGCATTTCCGGTATTGGACAAGCTGTGCCTCCGACAAAGAAAATTGATGAATGGTACCGGTGCCGAAGCGAACTGGACTTGTACGCTGTAGCTGGGAATGCTGTGTTGTGGTCGTCATAGGACGAGTACTTGTTCACATCATTCGTGGGACAAATTGTCGCGCGAATTGCGACAGGACTATTAATAATCCATTCGTTTCGCTATTCCAACAAGACAACAGGCTCAAAGGCCAACTGAGCCCACTACTGTACATGTTCTTGGGGGATAAGAGCCTTCAGGATGGACGTCATTGAAACAATATGATGCAGACAATCCCCTCGTCAGTAATCACTACAGTAGTTGCTGCTTTTACCCCGTCGACGACATCCAGTAGTATCCCCACGAGCTAAATTATTAACAACTTATCCCCATGACAACCAACAACCCGTTCGCAAGATCAGATATGGTGGCTGCTACATGTACGCTGGAGAGCGAACGCGAGCAAGTATGCCAAGTTGTCGGCAGCTATTGGTATAAATCACCAATTTTGAAGATGTGGCAGTATTTGTTGTACCATTTACTGTTGATTTGACTCGGGTGCGTTGATGGTAAAACTATGATCCATTTTTACGGCACATTCCGCGATAGGAATCCCCTTAAATAGGAATAAAAAATAGCCTCCCGGGGATTGTCTGTAATTATGTAAGCGTTTCAACGTCCACATTATGTAGGAGCGGGTCTTAACGGTACATTGCAACTGAGAAAATAGGAGAAGCACACGCCCATCGCTGGGATAACACACATGGGGCTGGGCGACGTGGGTGCCATAGCCGCGCCAACTAAGGTGAGCGGGTGCGAGGCGCGTAGCCGCAGCAAACCCGCGCGGAGAGCCCGCGAAGCAGGGCCGCGCGGTATTAGCGGAGGCGGGGCCCAGCGCTGATCTCACCAGCGAGCCGAGCACTACACTTTCCAGAACATTCTATCTCCATATTGCGAGCGCAGCGAACCGCGGGGGGCGCCCAGCCAAGCGAAGCGCGGCTAGTGCCTTTTCTGCTATGACCTCTAATCGTCGATTATGTCTTATTGCGACACTCAGAAGGTCAAACGTTTACAGAAGTGTGCTGAAACAGTACACAGGTAAATGCATGTTTTTGGCATGTTCTGTCATTGCAACTTCCCACAAGGTTCTTTGAGTTTTCCGCTGTGTTGTTGATACTAGCCGTGTGCCGCCGCTACGCGGCGGTAAAGAATGAATGTCGTTCCTTGTATTTTGCCTCCGTTCCGCTCGCCACGGGCTCGCTTCACTACTCGCACGGTAGGTTGGCAGATGTGGTTCAGCCGGGCCCAAAGGCCCGCAGGGTTGCAGAAGGTGCCGATTTGGGCCGCCTCGCTGCGCTCGGCAGCTTTTAGGGCAATCGGGGCCACCTTCGCTGCGCTCGGCAGCCAGTAGGAATATTTAAATTATTTTATCCAATGGTTTGTCCGGAAAAGCGTGACAGGCACGACAATTTAGTGTGACGGACAGACAGGTTGCTACAGTAACTGTAGTACAGTAGACCGGAGGGTTTAAAAAAATCCAACATACAGTCTGTACACAGCATCGACAAAGTATACGCAGCCACGTGTATTTAAAAAATAAAACGCATCGTTGAGCCGATGCTAAATAAAATCATTAAATAAAATAAAACAAAAAATGATTTCTTTAAATTGACAGCATTGCAGTCTATCAATGCTGGCGGATAAACTTTATCATAGGGTCTATGGGGCGTATCATCTGTTTATCGCAACAAGATCTGCAGTCAAAGATCGTGGTGCCATTTAAACTTGTACTAATCTTACATGCATGCTAGAAGCAGCAGAGGCGTTTCGCGGAAGCAAACGGTAGAAAAACTAAAGTCAAAAGGTGTCTAACATTTTACTGTACATACCAAACCTGGGGTATTTCCACTAAATATTACGAATGCTCATTACATAAATATTTTTAATAAATTAATCACCTTGCTACTACAGTGTTACTGATGTCCTTCCGTGTACTACGTACAGTTAATTTGCATCTAGAGCTTTCCGGTGATCCAAATTATTTTACCCAAGCAAAGCATACCGCACAGCCCCATTTTTCGAGACACCACAAGCTTGCCTTGGAAGTGTACTGTACGAATGTATTATTAACTGTGACAAAAAATGTCGTCGTCAGCTCGCATATTTACAGTTTAGGTATTAATACAGTAACACCATTCGAACGTGAAAACTAATCGCGCTTTGGCTTGCGTTTCAACTTGAAACTTTCAAGCACGGCAGACGCAAATCCCCGACCTCCTGAGGTCCTGTCTGACTTACCTAACAACCAAATGCGATTTCAAAAGTGCAATCCTAAATACCAGTAGAACAAAGTCGTGCCGTTTAGATACATATATAGTACAGTACCATCCGGCCTAACGCGTTACATGTAGTAAAAATAACGCGCCACGCTACACGTATCCCAGATTGCTGCACCTCTAAGTTCTGATATAGATCGCTAACAGGAGTATAACTGATACTACGTAGTATGTACTTAAAACTAAGACGCTTGGCTACAGACAACGACGGTGAAATCCGCCACCCTCGGAACGCCATCCTCCATAGTAGTTCTTTTTTTGTTTTCGCGACAGGAAAATCCGTCGCACATTTTTATTGGGAGATAAAACGAATTAATTAGCAAAAAGCAAAGTTGAAAACCTCAACGTCTAGTGGCTGGCAGGCCGCTGTACTGTTGGGCGGTAGCTGGCAAACCACACTTTGGCATCCATAAAACTGCTCTCCTGCACTGAGTATACATGACCAACCGGATGTGTTGGTAGCTCCACGACTATCACACTATTTAATAAAGCAATTATATAAAATCAGCAAAATCAAAAGATATTACCGTGCTGCAAACCGCTAATCCACGACTATCACACTATTTAATAAAGCATTTATATAAAATCAACAAAATCAAAAGATATTACCGTGCTGCAAACCGCTGGCATAGTCTCATAAACGCACTTAGACCCTTCTCATCGCATTCCTTACCAGCAAGATACGTTTGAAGCCATCGCGTTTGCTGCTCTTTGAAATATTGTATCATTAAATCTGTACAAATACTAAGCAACAAGCGGTTTTAGGTCACATTGTAAAAATAAATTAATAAGAAGACGATTTACCCATTCTTCTCGTCGCACATCCTTCATAAAGGTTTATAAATCGTGAGAGAAGTGTCTTAACGGCGCTGCACTCTGGCCCTTCAAGGTTTTGCTGGTTTGGGCACCCGCAAAGTCTTGGATGTTCTCTTTATCGTCTTGCCAGTCGCGAAGAGTCGTGCGAGGGTTATTTAGTCTCTTTGATGTGGCTTGGCAGCTTCCTAACGCCTCAGCAGTCGCGATTGCTTCGCGCTTGGTTAGAATTGTATAGGAGCGCTGAGGCGCCATTTCCAGAGTGATAGAAATTCTAACTATATGTGTTATGCTACCCGTAGGAACCAGTCGATTCAATTTACTCTATCATTGGCTAAAATAAAAACTTGTTTAAATCTTTTATTTTGAACTTCAAGTGTTCGTGGCGGATTTGTATGGTATGGCGGATTTCACCGTCGTTGTCTGTACATCAGCGTTAGCGGTGGTCTCTGTGGCTCGGTGAGCTTAGTGGCCTGCTCTCCGTCCTACTTATTTTCCCCATAGATGTTTTAAAATGGTATTTAGTGTATGTGCAAGCATCACCAACGGATAGCCCATAAACGCAAGCGTCGGACGAGCGGAGAATCTAAAGACGATTCTCTCTGTATTGGTCTTGACGCTGATAGCGTCCGAAAGCCGCACATTATAATTACTATCCGAGCGCCGCCGCTACGCGGTGGTATTTTAGGTTTAGTTTTATTTATATTTGCTTTGACCTTCCTGCCCCCGCTGCACTTCGGCGGGATAATTATTGAAAAACCCTGTGTGCCTAAATCGTTTTTTTTTTAATTTCATTAATCTGGGGTTAGCATCATATTTCCCGATTGAAATAATTGTTCTAATGATCTTGAATCAATATTCTTGATGTAATCTTTTTTATAATTGTTAGCTATCACTGTATCTTCATCTTCCACCCAAAACCACCTGCACTTCAAATAACAATTGTTTAGTTTAGCGTCGTGCTCGATATCACGGACCATTTCTGAGCTCACATGATAGTAATGGTCTGTCCAGGCTGCGCTACCTCCCGCTTGTACTGCCTATTTGAGCTTGTAAGTAGCTATAAATTGTTCACTTCGCACACAAAACGAAATGAAAGCTAGAAAATATTCGAATTGTAATATTTTTTATGCATGCAGCGAATTAGTCATTAGACACTCGTGTAATTATCGTTAAACTATCATATAAAAAGCACTACCGCCAACATTAAAAACAGCAAGGCGTCTTGCGACACATTACCCAAATCGCAATAATCATAACTGACACATGGTTAAACGTCATTAAATGAAACTTGGAGCCTAAATTTTAGGCTCCAAGTTTATTAACGTTTCTTTATGGGGTCTACTTAGCCAACTATAATTAACACCTCTCGTGTTTTGTTGTTATCTTGCCGCTCCATTTATGATCTTATCCTACGCCCCTGTCGGCGACACGTCCGCCAGTTTAGTAGTATCGGATTTTGCTGTCTACACAACTCTTAGAATGTGGTTTACAGCAGTAACGCATATGGGCTCATCTCAAACTTTCTATCTTTATGGATCAAGTGACAACGTTTATTAGCACAGCGTTGTTCTTACGGCCAGCTTCTGTTGTTCATGTACTACTTTATGGCAGCTCAGGCAGTTACCTAGCATTCAGATATTTGGAAAATACATTCAGATATTTTAAAAATATCTGAATGTGAGGTAACTGCCTGAGCTGCCATATATCTACAACAAAACTGTTGTAGTTATTTTTTTAGTCAATGTTTCTTGCAGGAACGTTTAAGAACATAGTATTACGTATATTACT